GCATGGACACGCTGGCCAATCTAGCAGCAGATTCGTCCTGCGGATGGCTCTGGAGAGGCACAGGATGAGCCGTCCCCTGCCCCTGTCGTCGCATGCTCGGACTCACGAGCCGCTGTGAATCTACTGGGCGGAGGAGCGGCCGCCCAAGCGAGGCCTTCACCCTCGGCATGGAGATGGGTATGGGACAGGGATGCGGAGCCGTGGAAATTTCTGACGGCTCCGGCTCCGGCTCCTGAGAAAAAAATCGGCTCCGGCTCCGGCTCCGGCTCCGGGTGAAATGTCATGGCGGCTCCGGCTCCAAGTAAAATAATCCGGCTCCGGCGGCTCCGGCTTCTACTCAGTACATCCCCTATGCGATCAATTAAATACGGGTGGAAGAAAAAAGGCGATGGGATTGGTACACGTTGCTTCTGTATTTGTATAACAAGGCTTTTTTGAATACCAGATTGTTTTACGCCTTGTACTGTCAAACCGAACTAGGTAAATAATTGTTTCCTCTTAAGAAAAGAAGTCGGAGTCGCCCCCTTTTTTGACGGCTCCGGCTCCGGCTCCGGCTCCGGGCTATATTGTTTCACGGCTCCGGCTCCGGCTCCGGGCAAAATATGCCGGCTCTGGCGGCTCCGGCTCCGGCTCTGCAATCTGCATCCCTGGTATGAGAGCTTGTTGAACATTGACGGGCGTCACGAAGTAATCCCTGCAGTGATTTCCTGCCCATTGCGGGATCGGGGGGCATGAGAGCGCGAACCACCTGGCGAAACAAGCAGTCGCCCTGCCCTCGGGGCTCGGACGCCTGCTCGCTGACCCGGGTGGTTCATTGTGCTGCCTTGCGTCAATAGGTACAATCGGGGGCAGATTGATGTTCCACCACTCCCTACCCATCGGGCGATCCCATGGCTCAGCACTGGCTGCTGCCAGTGTTCCCTGCCCTCAGCACTGCCTGCCAGTGCCAGTGCTGCCAGTGCTGCCAATGGCGCTCAGCCAGTGATGAGCCATGGGAGCCCGATAGGTAGGGAGTGGTGGAACATCAAACTGCCCCCGAGTGTACGTACAACTGGTCCGAGTCACTATTCAAGCCACTCTTCGGCAGTGCTTCGGCAGCACACTGCCGCTCCCCATCCCCGTTGAGGACCGAGAGGGCGCCGTGTCGGTGCACCAATGAGGGCGGGCCACTGGGGCCGCTCGCTTCAGTACCTGCACCGAATCGGCCGTTACCCCTCCGCGGCGTGTCAGCAGTGCCCAGACAAACGGTGCTCCGTGGCGCTCTGCGCCGTGTGCTAAGAAGAGGCTGATGTGCCGGAGCAGGTGATGCTCTGCTGCGCGGCCCTCACTGGCGCTCGCCTGCCTCGAACATTCCGCTCCGCCGATTTTTGAGACTCCAAAACTTCCGGCCCGGGCCTTGTTTCACGGCACGACGCTGCAGTGCGCTACGCATATTGTGGTGTTGGGTTTCCGTGGAAACATCATCTAACTCGGACGCTCAAACGTGGGAGCAATATATCTAGTATACCCTGCGTGGGAGAGCGTCAAGGCCCCGGAACGCTCTGTCAGGTTGATATAGCCTTGTTCGTTAGATTTACACGTGTGATTAATGTAAAAAACAACTTAATTTTGGCGCAAATATGCACCCAACCTTTGGCGCAAATTATAGAGAAATTTCAACGAAAAATTGCTTACGCTGAATTTCGGCGCATCAGGGTCTCACGGGCGTCCGGCGTAGTGTTTGGATGTTTTCTAGGCTGGCACTTCGGTTCAATGAGAGAGATAAGCCTGACAGAACAGGATGGTGGTATGTGACACCAACTTTTGTGCCCTGTGCTGGGACATTGATCGCAGGTTTTAATCCCACTAATGGCAAGAAATTGCCGTGTGTTTTACCGATTTTCGGATTATTTTTTTAGATTGCAGGTTCAAAACTCACTTGTGGAATGCACTGGCGGTCCCAGGGGGGGGGGCCACGGGGGCCATGGCCCCCCCTTTGGTGCTGAAAGGTGGGGCCATACTATCTTTTGGCCCCACCTTTCAGATCGAACACAAGTCCTAGAAAAACTTTTTGTATGTTTCATTTTCTTTCTTGTGCCATCAAAGGACGTAAATTTCACTCATGAGTGGGCTCAGTTTCGTATTCTGTCAATTTGGTAGTCAGCGTCGCTGGCACCGGTTCACGAGTATGGCCGCATCTTACATGGAATATCAGCGTGGGTTTACTTGAGGCTCTCGTAGGCCCAGCAATGGCTGGCATGAGACCTCTTCGGCAGTGGCGGGTGGCCCTGCCAAAGGAGCGTGGCTCTAAGACACTAAAGTAAGACCTCATGGGTTGGTGCTGTGCACCTCAGAAGCCCGGTGGTGACGCCGTATGCCGGCTTGGTTTCTTAAGGATTAGCGTGGGATCTCCGGGGCCTGCATAGAGTTTGCATTAGCTAGTATGTAATTCCAGAGGCCTGTATGTAATGTGTACACAGTGGCGGTCGCGGGGGCATCAGGGCCATGCCCCCCCCCAGGCACATAAAGGGGGCCATCATATCATTTGCCCCCCCCCCCCCTCAAGCAACCGATGGGCCCCCATAGGTGTATGGGACCCTGGCCCTGATTCGATCGTCACGAGGCTAAAAAAAACACGCCCACACCGGTCTTTGAGCGTCCAACACTGACCTCTGAGGGAACTTCAGTGGCGGTCAAGCGCCCACGTTGACCGCTAAGAGCCCACATCGACCTCTGAGGCCCCACATCTGACCTATGAGGACCCCTTACCGGCCTCAGGGGCCCCAACCGGCGTCTGAGGGTCTCACACCGGTCTCTAGTGGCCTTATTGCTGTCTCTGGTGTCCCAAGACGAACATTTAGGTGCCAATGAGGGCCCCGCATTGGCTGCTGAAGACCCGATGCTGGCCTCTAAGGGCCTGCATTGGCCTCTGAGGAGGGCTCATCTTGGCCTTTGAGGGCCCTCTGCTGGCCTCTGCCTCTGGGTTCCAACGACGGCTCGTTCCGGTCTTTTAGGGCCCCACGCTGACCTCTGAGGGCCCCATGTTGGCCTGTAATGAGTAGGACCCACATAAGCCTCCGAGAGCCCAACTCGGTCTCTGATGGTCTCAAACTACTGGCCTTTGCAGTTTGCAGGCCCTGTACTGGTCTCCGAGGGCCCTAAACTGGCCTCTAAAAACATACATGGGTGGGCTTCTGAAGATCACAGGGCTCACGCAGACTCCTGCACAGCCGTACGTTGGTCCTGATCGAGATTACTTTACGTCCTGATGGTCCCACGCAGATTCCCTCATATTTCGACGTCGGGACCCCATGAGCCGGTGTGGGTCGTGGGGCTGGCAGAGACTGATGAAGTCCTTAGGGCTCCGCTCAGGGCCATTCTTTTTAGCAGTAGGACTATAAGGCAGGTTGAGTGAGCCCCAATAGAGCCGTTGCGAGGCCCCGCGCGAGTCGTGCGCGGCCCTCAGATGCCAATTTTGGAAACCAGGAAGTAGGAACCTGTGGGGCCGGGGGTCTCCAGAGGTCGGTGTACCTATTCTCTCCCGCCGCCAAACAGCTATATGGGTAAATGTCATAGTCTGAAAATGATCTCTGGGTTTCACATGCTTGTTCAAAGCAAGAGGTATCCGTACTTTTCCGAATTGTTTTATTGTGGTAAGGTCATGAATCCGCGTGCCCGACCTTCCAGTATATGCTACACCGATCCGTCGCCATGGTGCAGTGGCCCGACCGGTGGAAACACCGTGGGACGGGAAATGGAACTGGTGCTTTTGCCTTAAATTAAGCTTAAAGATTTCACGCAAGAATGAGGTGGATGAAGCATAAGTAATGCCAACTGCGCGGCGCCTTGTGGACGTAAAAAAGTAGCCGATCACCCCCCCCCCCCCCGGTGACTGATCAATGTTATGTCCCGCGAGTGTGACTTTGGCCCCCCCTTTTGCGAGCGGCTGCGACCGCCAGTGGTGGAATGGGATGACCAATGACCATGTTTTAAGTTTTAACCCGCGCAGTGGGGTCTGTTCATAACGCGACCTGTTGGGGGGGGACTATTTTTTGCCCCCCCCCCTCGTATCTCCGACACTACTGCACGGATCCGCAAAATTCGAACGGCGTTCGAAAACCCGGTTAAATTCGTTGAAAAAATCACTTTCATTGACCTCGGGGTCACCGATGACGTCACAGATCAGGTCAAAGATAAAATGTTTTGCCGGTCACGAGTCTTCTAGGAAATGCGCTATAACATCGAGTAAAACGCATGTTATCGAAAATCAGCGATATGGCTTCAGTTGCCTTGTACATATGTTGCTCTTAGAGGTCACTGATAATGCCAGGTCAGGTCACAGGTCAGGTCACAGCCGTCACAGGTCAGGTCACCAAGGGTCAGCACATGAAACCAATTTTACTAGGGCTGTGTGATGCATGTTTTATGGCCAATTTTTCATTTCAAACTCAATGGTGTTGGTTATAAGACCATCAGGAACGGTTTAGGTCACTTTCTGGTGAAGGTCAGGTCAATGACAGGTCAAAAAAGGTCAAATTTCAAAGTTGATATTTTTGCATAACATGGGTATTAATTCGATGCAGCTCGTCACGGCAAGTCTAATGGTGGTCTTTGTTTTGCGCTACGTGGTCTATTATTGCTAAAAATTGATTTTGAAAATCTGATGATGTCATCAATTTTGAAGTTTTTTTTTCGTTATAACTTGGCCAAAAAAAGAGGTACCTATTGATCTAAAATTTGGTATGTGAATAGAAGTCGGTAAGGGCTATCACATATGTTCCGGGTTTTTTTAACATGGGACTTTTTTTGCATTTTTTGGCAAATATATTTTTTTAAATGATTTTGGGGGTTAGAATTTAAAAAAAAATCAAAATTCCGAGATATCAGTTTTTTAGCCCTGGTAATTCTACACCTTTCATGTCCCAAACGTTTTTCTATATCTTCATAGCTTCAAACTTTTTTTTAGCACTTATGTATGTGTCAACAAGTGAACCTTAGTGATGCAAACATTTTTTTTCCAGAATGGCATCATCTATGAACATAGCAGGAAATCAAAATGAAGAATCTGCTATCAGCGGTGTGGAGGTCCGCAACATTGATGACAGCATTGTAAGTGTTGTTGGACATAGTTCCTTGCATAGTTCCTTGTTGCTTCATTCTTCTGCTTTTCTGCACATTAAATGTTACAGTAGTTTATAAGCTCCTTGCTACCTTACCACAAAATATCCTATTTTAACCCGCGCCCGGCTGGGGGTCCTGGATTTCCACGCCCTGCTAGGGGGGGGGGGTGTTTGAACACCCCCCCCCCTTGTAACTCGGCTCCTGGGCCACGTAGCGATACGCGGAAGGCGGCGTTCGAAAGAGCGTCAAAAATAATGACGAAATCACTTCGGTCAATTTTTTGGTCAGGTCAAAGGTCAGGTCACCAGAGGTCATTGAAGGCAAAATTTCGCCGATTTCCAGGTCGAATGGCGAAAATTTCCAAGAAGCCAACGCATAACTCGGGAACCAATAGAGCTACAGCGCCGCGGAAAAGCGCATTCGATAGCCCTATTAACGCCCTTTCTGAGTAATTCTCTCAGATTTGACCTAACGTCAACGGTTTTGCCTGCAGGGGGCAAAAACTGCAAAAATAGCCGATTTTTTCGGAAACAGTTTTTCTTCAATAACTTTTGACCCAAGCCCTGTACGAGCTTACTTTTACCGGCATCGTGTTCCTCTCGTCAAGACGCATCGAATGAACTATAACTTGACCTTGAAAGGTCAACTTGAAAATTTGACCTCAGGTCAAGGTCATGACCTGACCGGAAAGGGTCATGTTGCATATCAGTCGATCCGTATCGTCGAGCTGAACACATCTAAGGCGTTTTCATCGCTCTAGCATGCCTCTATCAAAAGTTATTTGCGAAAAACTGTTAGATGCCATTCGTGACCTAAGATGACCTCAGGGCATAAACAAGGGTCACGGACACCATTTTCATGTTCAGTGTGTCTAAACCACTTGTAATTCGGTGTTTGGGAGTGTTTATTATGTCTTTCATCCAAAAGAGGCGCATTTCAATTTTCTCCCATTGACTTATAATGGGGAGGTCGCAAAGTTGACCTGACCTTAGGTCATCGATATCAAAATTCTGAGATATACATTTTGTACATGCTATTGCTCTTAGCAATCGCTGAAAGTTTCAAAGCGATCGGTCACTCGGTGTAGCTATGACAGACATTGAAACTTTTTATGAGGTGAGGTCACTTCAAGTGACCTGGTGACCTGACCTTGAATGACCTTGGTCTGAAATTTTCACAACATCCCGTTTTTGAGATATTCGCGAAAAACCACAAGGGGGGGTGTTCAAACACACACCCCCCCCCCCCCCCAGCAGGGCGCGGGTTAAGTGGCGTGTATCTTACACGTCTCTGACTAGACTGGAATAGGCAATTTCCCAGCAGTCCACTAGACCTGCTCTGACAGTCATGGCCCAGACACCAACGAAACCCACTGAGACGGCCAGCTGCCCCCTAATTCCATTGAGAAGGTGTGCTGCCAACCAAACCCACAAAGACAGACTGTTTTGGTGAGTTCAGTGGCACTGCAGGGAGCTGCTAAGTAAAGCCCCAGCGCCCATTGCGCTGTGGCGATGGACTGTCGGGCGGGGACGAGGGACCAACTGGTTGAGACTGATAGCAAGCTGTTGGGACGAGTGACCAGTACCACTTACCAGCAGGCTGGGACAGGGGACTGAGTGTTGAGACGAGGGAACAGCTGGTTGAAATGAGCGACCGGTGTGCGGAGACAGTGACATGCCCCTGAACCGGCGGACTGGGACAAATGACCGGCAGATGATCGCAGTCTCCGCTCCGTCCCGGGCAGCACAAGGCGGCTCCGCATCGTTTTCCCGCGCTCTCTCAAAGCAGTCGCTTCCACAGAGTTGGCCGGCAAATTCCCCCATGATGTCCTTCATTGTGGCCGGCGACTTCTGTATCCCCCAGGGGGGGGGGGGGGGGTCCTGTGGGGCAGAAACTCAACAGGTGATGTTACGCTTTGCGGGAAAAGCATCCGCCACCCAGAAAAGCATCACTACTGTCCCCCAGTGTTATTAACCCGCGCCGTGCTGGGTACGGGGGCGTTTTAGGCTCTCTCTCTCTCTCTCTCTCTCTCTCTCTCTCTCTCTCTCTCTCTCTCTCTCTCTCTCTCTCTCTCTCTCTCTCTCTCTCTCTCTTTCTCTCTCTCTCTCTCTCTCTCTCTCTCTCTCTCTCTCTCTCTCTCTCTCTCTCTCTCTCTCTCTCTCTCTCTCTCTCTCTCTCTCTCTCTCCCCCTCACTCTCTCACTCTCACTCACTCTCTCTCTCAGTCTCTCTCACTCTCTCTCACTCTCTCTCACTCTCTCTCTCTCTCTCCGTCGGCCTTTCTTTGTTCAATTTTTTTCTCATTTATATCTTGTTTGTGCTGCGTGTATGTCTCCATCCGCTTTTCTGCCTCCAGGGGAAGGGCCTGTTTGCCACCCGTGATTTCAAGGCGGGTGACGTCATCTTCGAGGAGCGACCATTGGTTTGCTGCCAGTTCCTCTGGAATGCGGCCTATGGCTATCTGGCGTGCGACTTTTGCATGAGGTGAGCACAAGTAACATACAGTGTAATACGGGATTGAAACATGGGTAACCCACAGGCCCACATTGGTGTGTGCCCAGCCCAGGCCCTCGAATGAATTACCTGACAAAGCTGTTTCAGCAACATTTGTGGATAACCTCTGGGTAGCCGTAATCAGTGCCAAGCTACAGTGGTACAATCCCGACCTTTGCTGTTCCTCACAGCTCTGCAGTGCAGTACGCATGCCGAACACCGAAAAGACCCGTCTTACCTGGGCCAAAAACATAGAGCTTATACTTTTAAGAGCGATATTGTAAGCTTACACATTGGACAGGTGTATCAGGGTGTATCGCATCAGAGGCGGGATTGGAGATTCCCAGACTAACATCCTAGTCTTACTTTGGGCCAATATTCAAAAGAAGGAGCTGTATTTAACCCTCGCCCGTATAGGGGGGGGGGGTCGAACGGACCCCCCCCCCCCATGGTTTTTCGCGAATAACTCGCGTAAAAAGCGACTGATCGCGACGAAACTTTCAGTACCCTCGCGTTCATCAATTTCACACCTACCCTGAAAATTTCATGACCCTGACCCAAATGACCTTTGACCTGTGACTTTTCGAGACCATGTTTGGCTGGAATCGCGATTCGGCGTATGTCGGCTCGCTTTAGCCGCGCGTTTGCAGTCTTTTCGTGGTTTCAAGCGTTCAAACATGTGATATGATGTTGCTCTCATGCATTAGGGTGGGTGTCAAGGTCACCTGAAGGTCAGGTCAGGTCATTGACCTTTGATGACCTCGGTTCACTTTTTCGAGTTTTACATGTTTCTAGGCCAGTTTTTGGAGCTGAATTCGAATTTAGCAACCATATGAACATTTACGAAGTAGTTTTGGTGCCTTCGTAACATGTTACGAAGCTGTCAGAGGCGGTTGCCACCTACTACGAATACCCTTACTGGTTGACCTGACCTGACCTGACCCGACCTGGCCTAAATACATGAAGACATCATCTGTGATCAAAACTAACATGATATTCGTGATCAGCACCCCGAAAAACCCCATAGCAGCCACACTTTACGACGTTCTAACAGGTCCCGATTTTCCCGCCTTTGGGGTCATTGACCTGACCTGCAAGGTCAACCAATGACCTAGGACCTTAAAATTGGGTACCATCGGCTTCCTCTCGTCACGGGCAACACGCTCGTTTTTTCCGCGAAGCTCTAGCTCGATCAGGGGCGAAACGGCAAGGGGGGGGGTCCAACGGACCCCCCCCCCCCCCCCTTATACGTTCGCGGCTGGAAAAACACCAATACGGGCGAGGGTTAAGACGAAGACCGTCCGAATCCGTGGTGTCCTTGCGTTTGAAAATTTGACTTCTATTCGAGTGGCTGCCACGATTTTTTGGTAATTTGAAACCTGACTTTCCTCTTCTCCTTTATTGCTTTTCCATTGACTTCAGGCATAATGCAGCGGCCTTTTTTTAGTAGCTTACGTTGTTTGTAGAACGTTCACAACACTATCCGCTCTACAATGCGGCGTGGGGAACACTGAGTGGATGTCTGAGCTGGGGAACTGTGGAATCCCCTACTGAGCCTTTCCAATTTATACGGTTCATACTACATACAATCTTCTTCCCATCCCCAGTTAGGACCCACTCTGCTTGAGTTTCTCACTTGAAACCGATGAGTTGTTTTGCGAATCACCAGGCTAAATGGACTCGGTATTTGCTATGGTGATGTCAGAAGTCGGATCACAGATATAAGGCGTAATCTGCCGTTGGTATTGCTGGGATTAGGGAAAGCACTAATCGTGCCGTTGAACTCACTGGCAAATTGAATAATAAATGTACGTACCTAATTTGTGTTTTGCAAACAGAAAGGAATGTTTTTACTTGGCATGAATTAGAATAGTGGTTCAGTTTTAACCAGGTTGTGAGTTTTCCACGAAAAATCAGCGAATACTGCCCCATCCTGTCTACGGGGTCGCACTGTTGCTTCTTTCCGTTCCGGCCAAGGAACGTCATGCCTTAGTTCGTAAATACATGCTCCTGCCCCTTCCAATCCTGAATCCGCCCGTCCTTGCTTAAGCTGAATGCTGCAATGTCCGACCGCCTTCCGCTCACATAGCTGAGAGATGTTCCTAGCATCATCAAAACAGGACAAAGTGCGCCAGTGTTGCCTCCCCGTTCGGAGTGTGGCTGCCCCTGAGCGCCGTGGCGCCGCCCGCAGGCCGCTGGAGACGGCGGAGGAGAACGCTCGCCGGCTGACGGGGAACGCCGCGCTGACGCTGCCCCACCCGGAGTGCTGCGAGACCAAGAAAGCCCAGGTGGTCGAGTGCCCCACCTGTGACGTAAGTGCTGTCAACTGACACGAGTTGGACTGAGGAGACGGAGTGCCTTGGCTGCGCCGTCCGGTGGCTGAACGAGCAGTGGGCTTACAGGTGACTGAGATAACTGACTGCTGAGCTTACAGGTGGATTTGGACTTATGCAGTCAATCGTCATTTCTCACTTTACAATGGATACTGAGTAGCTGGGCGCCTTTGACACCGCTTTTATGGAATGGAGTGTCCTGGACAGGCCAGATACTCCGCTCATTTTTTATGTGCGTTTGTGTACTGTATAGGAGGATTCGGTGCGTGTGCCGCGTCGCCCCGTGTTCTCATATCGCACCAAGTGAGTAACGGACTGTATGTCGGGCGGCGGGCCGCAGGCGAGTTACTGCGGAGAGCCGTGCAGAGACGCCGCCTGGCGCCAGTACCACAAGACGCTGTGCACGCGCTCCTTCACCAGGGACGAGTCGCACCCGCTGGTCAACCTGCAGGAGACCTGGAAGTGAGTGGTTTTTCGGCCCGTGCTCCTATCCAGACAGAGCAGAGGCCCGTCACAATCAGAATACGTTAATGAGTTTGCGGTGGCCTGTGGTCGGAATTCAGCGTCATTCGCTTTTCCTGGGACAGAGTTCAGCGCTGCGTTGGGCCTGCGAGGTCGGAAATGACTGCAGAGTACCCGGCATCGAAAATGAGTGGGTGGTTCTTCGGTTATGTCCCACTGTCGGAACTCGGCGGTGTCTCTAGCGCCCGGGGGAGATCCAGCGCTTAAGTCAGTCCGAGAGGTCAAATTACAGCTATGAATGGGCTCGCCACATTAGGTACTATCAGTCGTTAAAGATTGGTGGTCAAAAGTAGCGTCCGGTTTTCCCAGCTCATTTAATGAGACGATTATTCTCGTCTCCGCTACGCTCGCCGGTAATTTTTCACCCAGCGCGGTGTCAGTTACGGCCATTGACGGTGACTGAGCGTGTGTGCGTGCCCCAGGAAGATGCACTATCCGCCGGAGACAGCCTGTATCATGCTCGTGGCTCGAATGCTGGCCACCGTACGCCAGGCGGAGGACAAGGAGGGCGCCATGAATCTCTTCATGCAGGTAGGAACCGCGCGGCACGCTATTAGGCGCCGCACGGCATCTTTAGCAACTGAGTCATTACCAGTAAATTGGTAGAGGGAGGCGAGTATAGCTCGCCGCTATTTGTAACCGTGATGATTTCCGGGGTGAATATCGTATCAGTGTCTCGTCTATTCGTGCGAGTAATTGTGGTGGCTTCTTTTAATGATGTACCAATGCTGGGACTGGATGTATGGCTATAATTGTCCGCCATTGATGTCCCTCGCCACTGTTTTTCCATTCGTTTTCCACGGCACAGTTACTGCGTAGTCACTAGTTCCGCCATCTCCCCCTCAGTTCTGCCACCGGACGGTGAACGAGGAAGAAGAGATAGCGCACAAGATGCTGGGCGTCCAGTTCTACGAGCAGCTGGAGGTGCTGCGGAAGCTCATGTCGGACGCGCTCTATACACCCGACGTTCACCAGGTGTGTAGACAACTCGAGGACAGGAAGTGAGAGTGCAACGTCGCGGCTGGCATTGGAACCCTTTGATTTGAGGATTCTGGTATTGGTGTGCTGAGTGAGCTTCAGGTATCTAACATAGGCAGCGGAACGGGGAGGGCACCGGGGCACAGTGCCCCCTTTGATTTTGGCATTTTAACATTAGCCCTACATGGAAAGAATACATGGGCGTTGCATGGAAAGAATGGGACCAAAAGTCGACAGTGCCTCCCCCCCCCTTAATTGAAGGTGTTCCGCCGCTACTGGTATCTAATGCAGATATGTGAAGACATTGTTTATATTTTTTTTTTTTTTTTTTTTTTTTGTTGGGTTAGGCCCTTTCGGTCGACAAGACCATTGCAGAGCCGGAAGGATGATAGGAATTAGGGGGAGACATTGGTCTGGGCAGGCACCCTAGAGAGTCGCCGGGGCTGAGCCCGTCCATAGGACAGGCCGACCAGCCCCCCAAGCACTCTCTGCACCCGGCTACGGGGTGCAGCTCCCTCGGGAGCAGCGGTGCCGCTCCAAGGGAGCAGCCCGCATGAGATAAAGTTGCCTGTCCAGCCCGGAAGGGGGTTGTGGCGTGGAGGAGAAGGATTTCAGTATCCTGAGGATAGAAGCACGGATAGGTGTTGATTGTTTATATGCTTGTTGCCTGTATTTTTCGGTGACGAAGGAACCCTATGACTGATCGTTTGAAATAGTTGGGCTGCTTCACGTGTATATATTACAACATATGTGATATTTTTTATTTTCATCGTCGTGTGTCTGTTTTCGTCTCTAACTGTGATGTGCCTCTGTTTTCGGCTGGACGTGTGCTGCACCTCAGTGGCTGACGCCCGAGGGGTTCCGGAGTCTGATAGCGCTGGTGGGGACGAACGGCCAGGGAGTGGGTACCAGCGCCATCTCTGTGTGGGTTCGCAACTGCACCAACCTCGACCTGCCGGCCGAGGAGCACGAGAAGCTCGACCAGGTCATCAACCAGCTCTACGACGACCTTGAGAAGGGTGAGCTGAGAGGTCACTGTCCCTGTGAGCTGACCAGCATAACCATTCAAATCGTAGCCCAACGTGTTATCGTCTCAAGTGCAAACTTATTCACTCATTCGGAGTCAGGCACTCAAGGCTCTGTGATACCTGCCATTTGTGATGACCCCTGGCGAGATCTCCGCTGCATTATCGCCTCTAACCAGGTGTCGTTTGCTCTAGAGGCGGGCTGTTTTCTGAACAACGAGGGCTCGGCGCTGTACCCGCTGCAGTCTTCCTGCAACCACAGCTGTACGCCCAACGCCATGCCCGGCTTCCCGTGCGACAACTTCGACCTGGTCATGTCGGCCACACAAGACATCGCTGCCGGCGAGCAGATTTGCGTTAGCTACCTGGACGAGTGCGCCCTGGAGCGCAGCCGGCACAGCCGCAACAAGATACTCAGGTGAGCCGCGCGCCGCCGGTGAACGCTTGAGTCGCGCGCCGCCGGTGAATGCTCGCTGGAATCGGGGAGGGATCTATAGAAATAGGCAGTGCCTATCCCGATTGATAAATTCAGTTTTAGTGTGTTTCGGGCTCGTCTTTTCTCGGATTTGTCTTTGACATTAATCTAGATTCAAAATGTATTCTGATAATACATAAATAACGTTCTCATATTATCAAGCGTTCCGCTTCGAAGTGTACAGTCCACACCAGAAGTAATGTGTGGTTTCAGTCATGGGTATGTTCTGCTTCTGAAGCTTAGGAACGATTAGCCAGACTACAATGAAACTTTGCATGTAGCTTATATGTATCGTCACCCTTGCAGCTGCAACTTTAGCTATTGACGTCTTCTTTTCGATCACTCCGCATTAAACAATCGCCAGTCAAAGCTGGGCACCCTCTCCGGGCACCATCCCCATCGACCAAGGCCCGGCTGGTGCTTGGCGCCGGGTGCCGGATGGCCGCTGCGCTCGGCGGCGGTGCTGGGTCGCCGCTCTCTGGAATGACCGCTGACTCGTCTTTTTGATCTCGTCTTTGTGTTACCGTCTGGTTAGGCACTGTCAAACTCCCCAATATAACCTTTAACTCTAACTGTCCGTATTCTAACAAAACTAACATGTGAATCCTTTCCGACCAATCCCGTTTGACAGTGCCATAAATTATGAATTGTTCAATGTGTGATCCCAAATTATAATCAATAAACGGAACGGAACGGAAAAAAAAGCCAACCGTTGAGATTGGTAAAACCCTACATTACTTTAGCGGTGGGCTGTACATATTTCCTTTCTTGTAAGTTGTAGTCCGTCTAAGGCAGTGTCTCCTCCTATTCATTCACAGCTGTGGTAATTCCCGGCCCATCTCCGATCATGCGATTCGGCTGTCCTGAGTGTTGGCCGTGAACCTCCCTGACACACTCCCACACTAGCTTACCTATACCACGCCTGCGGTGAACGCGTCTGGTGACGGGTGGCGCCCGTCTCCTCTCCGCAGGGGCAACTACCTGTTCAACTGCCAGTGCGCCCGGTGTCGGTCCGAGGCCGACCAGCCGGACGTCACCAGCGAGGAGGAAATGGATGATGAGGAGGAGGACGAGGACGACGGTCAGGAGTGCTGACGACACGCGAGCGGCGGTGGCCGACGGCACTGCCACCACGGCCGGGCCGCCTGACCGGGCGCTGGGAATAGCACCACACTAGCCTGACCGGGCAACGCCACCGCAGCCGAGACTCGGCAGCCGCAGCCTGAGTGCCGAGCCGCCTGGCTGGGTGTGGGTACTGCCAGTGTTACAGCGGCCGGCTGTCACTGCCTCCATAGTCGACTTCTGACAGGATTGTCAGGAGAGGACTGAGGAATGTCACAACCGGACTGCCACGACACTGCTGTCACTACCCGACCACCAGCTGTTCTGAACTGACCATGCAGGCGGGACGGAGCGGGGCGATAGGCGGTTGACGCTCCGCTGTGCAGCCGCACGGCTCGGGGCTGCCCAATGAACTTCACGGCTGCCTAGGCCTGAAGAGTCGGCGTGTTGCGAGCACACGGCAGGGAGGATGGTTGTGCCGTCAGCCGTGTGTGGGGTGTACTGTGCAGTGAGGCGAGATACCGGCCTAATGCGTATTTCTCGACTGGGGGAACCCAACGATGTGTTGTTCCCCATGTTCTCGCGTGTTGATTCATGGTGCTGTTTGGGGGGGGGGGGTTGCGAAGGGGTATGAACTGCTAAAGCGACAAAGTGGAGTTTGCTTAATCCAGACTGCGGATCCTGTAATGCCGCTCCGTCTTATAAAGTGGGAAGGGCTTGTCTCCCAGGGCGATATGCATTGTTATGTTTGTGAATGCATGTGAATGCGAATACGAGTGGTTTTGAAGATTTGTATGATGTGTAGGCATATGGGATGTGCAAGCACCATTTCGACCCAGCGCCGATAGCTAACTCATTCTCGCATAGTCGTGTATGTGAGAGCTCGCGTTACGCTGGCGCAGCCGCTGCGGTCCCATGTTGCCGTGGTTACCTGTGAGAGGCGGACGGATGTAAGACGACCGGTGCCGCGCGGCGCCAACAGGCTGATTTGGGCCGAAACACAGCGCGGATAGACGGCGAATGTGGCTGTCCTGACCGCCGGGTCGGTCGTCTGGCACCGGGATACTTCTGCTCGCAATATATGTTTGCGTGTATGTACCGCCTGTAACATTTTCTTTATTCATGAAATTCACTATCAGCTCCGTTTGAAATACGCGTTGTATGTACGACCCTCCAAGGCCCAACCACGACCCTTCAAGTGGGTGGTCACTGGTCGCCAACATCATGACACCGATCGATCTTTCATGCATTCGTCAATATGTTGTAAAAGAAAAAACATTGGCGGACTGTCCGCACGAAGTCTCACTCATTTCTAATGAACCATTTTACCCGAGTGTTTGCGCAATTCAAAGTTTCCACTGCCTCCAAATGCACAGACAGTTAGCAGTGCATTCGATTTGACCATGTGACTGAATTACCTGGCGGTAGGAAAAGCTGCATGCGAGGCTGGTATTCGCCGAATGCGCTCCCTCTAACAAGCTTATGGGATGAGACCCTGCCTTCCACCATGGGCCATTTTGTTGGCCCTGGTCCTTCCTCGGAAGCCCATTCAGAGTTGACCTCGCTCGAACTTTGGCGATCGTCGCCAGTCGGTGCGACGGGATTCACACAGATCCCTTCAAACGATACGCCGAAGAGTTCAGCTTTATCTGTGCTTACACGTAATCAGCTAGCTCTCATATTCAACGATCGACTATTCTCTTTACAGTGTTACAAGTTACAGCATAATAGGTAGGTTTTGCACAGTGTATAAATATATAAATAGGTTTTTGTTCCAGGAACGACGTCATTTTGAAATAAACAGTTTGCAGCATTTTAGGTACCTTTGTTAGATTATTTTGATACATTTATGGCGCGTTAGTTTCGAAAAGGCACAGAGCGGAGGGGTGTTCACGGGCACCGCACACTGCTGCGTGCGCTGTGTGCGGTGCGTCCAGCAGGCGTGGGGGTAGGGGATGGGTAGGCGGTTCTGACGTCACGGCTGCGTGCGGTGGACGGTCCGCTGTGGCCAGTCCCGACCGGCCACAGCGATCGCTGTGTGCGGTGACGGAAGGCTGACGTAGGGACGCAGTGGGCGGAGCTTGGAGGCTGTGTGCGGTCCGACCGCACACAGGGGCCCGTGAACAGCCCTCGGATTTTGCATGGACAGTAATCACAAAGTAGATTTTCGTGTGGATGTAGCTGGTATGTAGTAATTTACTTATGATTGATAATTATGTTATTTCCAAGTATTCAGCAGTTGATATAATGCATGGCTACTATTTTGAGATATTAATGTTGCCATGAATAAGGGTGTTCCTTCCAGACGTTCCTAAGCTCGGGTGGATGTCCTCATTCAAAGCTTCCCTTTGTGCACTGCTTACCTACTATTTCCAATTCAGACCTTTTGCATTGCTGTCTTGTTTAACACTTTATCTCTCATTTTTCTGCCTGACCTAGCCATTGCCCGTATCAGTGTTTTGCCTGCTGTAGGAACCAGAATGGATGTTCGTAGTCGAGCGTCTGTTGGACCCCTCTTGTTGTTCGGCTCCTGATGGAGCTAGAGCTTCGCAGAAAAAAAGAGTGTGCTGCCTGTGATTAGAGCAACCTGATGACACCCAATTTGAAGGTCCAAGGTCATTGATTGACCTTCCAGGTCAAGTCAATGACCCAAAAGTCTGTAAAATCTGGACCTGTTGTATTGTAGTAAAGTGAGGTCGTTATAGGCAGGGATGCGGAGCCGGAGCCGGAGTCGGAGCCGGAGCCGCAGGAGCCGGCATATTTTGCCCGGAGCCGGAGCCGGAGCCGGAGCCGTGAAACAATATAGCCCGGAGCCGGAGCCGGAGCCGGAGCCGGAGCCGCCAAAAAAGGGGGCGACTCCGGCTCCTTTTTATTTTTTGAAGAGGAAAAAAAATAATTGACCTAGTTCGGTTTGACAGTACAAGGCAGTAAAACATATGGTACTTTACTTACGTCATGGGCCATCAAGTGAATGAAAAAAGCCGAATATCCCCAGTATCCCACAGTACGCATTACGCAATCAACTTCTTGTCTGCTCCTCCCCCCCCCCCCCACGTCTACTGCATGCCCAGAACATGAGGACCGGTCATCAGGTGACGGCCATTGTTTTCAAGCCAGTGCAGTGGACTGCGACTCCCAGCACCGTCTCTTCCCCTCCCCCCCCCCCACCACCCCCCACCCCCACTCCCACCCCCCAATGCAGCCGAGACTGGTGTCAGCTTACGATGGTTCAGTGAACTCCAATTCGCGGCGACTGCGTTTCCAATGCCATCGCTTCCTAGTCCTTTGTTCTGCCAGTTCTCTCCGAGGTGCGTTTGCGCGGGGTTGCGGTGAGCCGGTCATGGCAAAGAGTAACGCGTATAACCAATCCCATTTTTCTTCCACCCGTATCTAACTGATTGCATAGAGGATGTACTGAGTCGGAGCCGGAGCCGCCGGAGCCGGAGCCGCCGGAGCCGTACCATTTTACTCGGAGCCGGAGCCGGAGCCGGAGCCGCCACAACATTTCACCCGGAGCCGGAGCCGGAGCCGGAGCCGATTTTTTTCTCCGGAGCCGGAGCCGGAGCCGGAGCCGTCTGAAATTTCCACGGCTCCGCATCCCTGGTTATAGGTATAATGTAATGTGCATTGTGCACCGTGTAAGTGCACACATTGCTTGACCTTCAGCTGCTATTTTGCTGATTCTAGTAACACATTTGTTTTCCCTTCCTTTCAGCATTTGACCCGATACATCTGTTGGGCAGCGGCCATGGCCGGCGCTGTGATAGAGAATCTGAGCGGCCGCAAGCTGGCCTGTCTGTGCTCGGTACTGCTGGTGGCATTGTTGGTCTGCTTCCTGCTGGGCGGTCTGGTGGCCCCTGAGCCGAGCAGTTCGCAAAACATCCTTGGGACCATATGTCTGGACCACGAGCGTGAGCCAGACCGATGGTTCCAGGTGTGGAGCGTCATCGGCAGTGAAAAGATGTGCGACAAGGCGGACAAAGTGGACGACCTGATGGACACTGGCATTTCATCTGAACAGGTGGTGTTCGCCTTCCAGATGCCTCTGCGCAGAGGTGCCGTGCTGGACTTTACCCGCTGGCAGCAAAATCTGATCGGTGTACTTCAGCTGGACATTGACCATGACTCGCAATATGAGATGGTGCCCAACGCCACGTTGGCGCTGGACGTGCGACTCGGCTACAAGAACAAAGAAGACAAGACAGAGGACTGGACGCTGCTGGCCGCCTCAGTTGAGGAGCGCCATCTCATCTGCGACTTGGACTCTGAGCAGAGCTACCGCTATAACTGCGACCTGATTCCACTGTTCGAGCTGGGCTCGCTCCACCACGACTATTATTTGCTTAACTTGCGTCTGCCGCCGAACATGGAGAACCAGCGCAATGTCGGCATCGGCAAGCTCGTCGACATCAACCTGGTGGCCATCTTCCAGAACGGCGGCTTCACCAAGGTGTGGGTGTCGCTGAAGACCATCTTCTTCCCGCTGGTGGTGGTGCTGCTCGTCTGGTTCTGGCGGCGCGTGCAGGCGCTCCAGCGCGAGCCGGCTCTCATCGAATGCATGCTGTTCTCGCTCGGCATCTGCCTGAGCGTGCTGAACCTGCCGCTCGAGTTCCTGACTCTGCGCTTCGACATGCCGTACATGCTGCTGATCACGGACATTCGCCAGGGCGTCTTTTACGCGGTTCTGCTGTCGTTTTGGCTGGTGTTCGCCGGCGAACACCTCATGGTTTCGGAGGATTGTGACCGCAACCGGCTGGCCGCTTACTGGAAGCACCTGTCTGCGGTTGCCTGCGGCTGTATCTCGCTCTTTATTTTCGACATGTGCGAGCGCGGCGTGCAGCTGACAAACCCGTTCTACTCCATCTGGGGCACGCGCGTCGGCACAAACCTGGCTCTGAGCTTCATCATCATGGCGGGCGTGTCGGCCAGCCTTTACTTCTGCTTCCTCTCCTGGATGATCTGGCGCGTCTTCTGCAACATCAACGTGAAGCGGCACTCACTGCCGGCCATGTCGTCGGTCCGCCGTCTGCACTACGAGGGCATCATCTACCGGTTCAAGTTTCTGATGCTGGCCACGCTGACCTGCGCCGCCATGACCGTGATCGGATTTATCCTGGGCCAAGTAGCCGAAGGCCAGTGGAAGTGGGACGACGAGATCTCGCTCAACTACACGTCTGCGATCCTGACGGGGGTGTACGGCATGTGGAACGTCTACACGATGGCCGTCATCTGCCTGTACGCGCCGTCGCACAAGCGCTGGCCGACGGCGGCGGCTGCCGGCGGCGTGGCGCAGCTCGACAGCCAGTCGGAGGAAATCGAGTTCTCGCGTCTGGCCCCGGCCAACGACGAGCCCAGCGACCTCACCTCGCTCACCCAGTTCGTGCGCAAGGCGGCCACCGACTAGCGGCCCCCTGCCCGGCTGTGGCACGCCGCTGAGCTGGCGCGCCATGAGCACCTCTGTCCCGCCATGCTGTCTGGCTGACACGGTGCGTTGTCTATGGCTTTAGCCGAGGAAGGCAGCTTTGCTCCAACGTTCTTGATTTGTATGTCCCCGTATATGATAATGATGGATCTTGCCATCACACTCCGAAAGGTCCGGCCACAGATGTTGCCCATTGCATGCAATCTCACATTATAACATTAGAACTGGCAGCCGTTAAACAACTTTGTTATCTCAATAATTTCACCAGAATCTCGCTAAGACAATAATAGCTAAGAAGTGCAAATGGTACATTTTTCAAGGCAAGGATCGCTACTTATCGGTTTATGACGTCGATTTATGTGTAGATAGTGATTTTTCACATTAATTGTATCCTGTGTCTCAGTTCATCAATGGTCTGCAAGATTGGGCATTGTTAATTGCAGTTTTCTCTTTGCTTGCCTTTCATTTATGACTAGCTCGCCGGGAGGAACAAGGAGGCAGCAATGACGTCCCAGACCATTTTTCCAGCTGTGTTCTGCCCATCCACTGTGTGTTGAACTGGTGTCAAATCCGCGACGGAGCCCCTTTACCAACGTCGTTCATCGATCTCCTCATTGTCTGTGTTGCATGTGCGTTGGCACTCATGCCTTCGTCTGTAGATGCTTTTCCTTGCCGTCACATTTTTATTAATGTTTTCTAAGAGCTGTTATTGAAAGATCATCGTGTCCTGTGTTACTGTTGATTCGGAGTTTGCTAGAAATGCTACACATAGCGCGTGTTAGCTAGTGCCAAATATCTGTTCAAAGCTGTGTGTACGTCTTGCCAGCAGGACACAAGCTGTGTATTTGTGGAATCTCCCATCTGATGCTGGGTAGCGGTCGTGGCCACGGCAGACCCGTGCCAGAAACGCCAGCGGCACAGCTGTATCTTACATTTTGGTATCGCGCTGTTTTGCGTCGGTAGTCTCTGAATCGCTGTTCAGTAATTGTGCGTCGCTGTGCGCTTTAGCTCGTATCGTCTAAGCATCTTCGATGTATAATTGTGATGTTTGGTGTACTTTTGCTTCTTGTACCACCTCGATGGGCAGTTTTTCAATAAACTTTGTATCGTTTAACTCTACCATCCGTTAAGGAACAGCGATTGGGTGACGAAAGGCGGGGCCAAGCACCCAAGCCCAGCCAGCGACTGACCGGTTCAATACCGGGCACATTTAGAGAAAGAAGTAATACAGACGCCAGTGTATACATATATTGTGTCAGTCAGTCAGGCATTGACAGCTGTCGTGGGCTGCTCGGCTCGCTCTCCGTCCCGCGCGCGGTGCGGGCAGAGGGTCAGGCGCGCGGTGCGGCGGCAGCGTGCCGCGGCCACAGGGCCCGTATATCACATGGAATCGGTCACAGCGCGCGGCCACACGCCAGCCGCTGTGCTGCCGTGGCAAGGCACCGGGAGAGGACGCGCGCGGCGCTCCGGTCGGCCGCCGACCGCCGACCCGGGGCGCAGCCGCGCCGTACAGATAAGGTCACAGCGCCGGGCGCGGCGGCCCTCCGCTACATAATGGCACACTGAAACGGAGAGGCGAGCGTCAGCGTTCATTGGCGGTGTCAAGTTCAGCGGCCTCTTGGCGAGCAGAGTGAGTGAGCCGAATAGTCCTCGCTCTGCTCTGAGCATGATGAAAGAAGTATTCAAGTACATTCCATGAAAATCAATATTTTAGTAATTGTATAGTTCGTAGCGTCATGTGATGACCGGGGAACATCGTTTTGCAATCGACCGCACGGCGTTGCTCAGCAAGAATGTGCGACCGAATGCAGAATGTCCTGATGGCTGGCTCACCTTCCCCTTTGATTTTCCCTCAGATCCTCCGGTGCTGCTGACCCGCTGGTGCCCTGTCGCCGGCTGCTGCGGCGGTGCTGCCGGCGGCTGAGAGTGCCGCCGCCGTTGCCGCTGCTGCTGCGGCTGCTGTTGCTGTTGTTGCTGCTGCTCGGACGCCGCACTCCTGTCCTCCTCCTCCTGTAACCGCCGGGCCAGCTCCGCGCTGCCAAACACGGACAACTGGCGTCAGAACAGCGCCGGTGGTGCGCCGACCAGCGAGCCCGACTGACAGCTGACTACACCCTCCGCAGGCGTCAATATTGTGTGGGCGCTTACACTGCACTCTGTTCCATCAGCGCACCCTCGTACAGACACCACCGATACATAAGAAACATCCTACAATAGCCGAACGTAGCACAGCAATTACCGACCAGAGCCGTGTGCAAATGGACCTGGGACTCACTCCGAGAGTAGCTCGGCACTGGTGCCGAACTCTGCCTCCTTGTACTCCTGCCACTGCATATCCTGCGCCTGCTGCCGAGAGCTCTCCTCTTGTAGAGACAGCGCCACCATGTAGCTGGAAAAGAACGGTCGGCGACGGTCAGCGGCCGGGCTGATGTCGGTCATCGCTCATCTGAGTGGGCTGTTGAGTTCAATTACTCCAGGGTGACTGGTCCGATTTTGTACCAGAAAGTCAGAGAGCACACTGGCACGACAGTGATACCAAACCGCCAGTCAGCCGAGAGAGCTGCACAAGAATACCAGTGTACACAGCAGCCAGGGACTGTGTACCAGCGTAGGCGGCAGACGGGGGATGGGGTGTTGCACAAGTGTACCAACACCGGCCGGTACCCACTCACTCGTGGTCCACCTGCTCGGGGCCGGAGGCCGGCGGCCGCTCAGGGCTCAGCGGCTCAAAGTTTCCGTTGACGAACTGTCCGGCGCCGTCAGTGGAGCTGAGCGTCTCCCAGACCACCCGCGGCTCGCGCAGGAAGCCCTGGTCGGTCACCAGCAGGTAAAGCTGGTCCTGGGGAGTGCGGAGGATCATGGTCATGTCAGCTCAGCTGCAGTCAGCAGGTGTGTTAAACGAGAGGTCCACGGCAGACCACTCCGAGCCACGGGCGGCGATCCACAGCTACTGCCGTATGCCGGCAATAATGCAGCATAAAAAAATACAGGGTACTAATCTGAAATCAGATCGCACCAAAAAGTACCCAGCCCAAAAGCCACCAAAGCGTACCCAGAGTGCATCAAAGCGTAGCATTGAATGTTGATCCATTCATAACAAATATAATGTGTAAAAATTGCCATAGAATTACAGGCAGCAAGCAAAGCCGTAAATTGAGCCTACAATTCGTACAGTTACACCGTAAAATCAAAGAAAGTATGCAGCTGCAGACAGCACAGACCTGGTATCTGTATATGGTACTGAAGTGGTTGTTTCTGAAAAAGACGGCCAGCTCGCCGTCCCGCATGGTCTCCCTCAGCTGACTGAGGCCGTGGGCGGTCAGCTGCGAGGCCGTCGTGTCCAGGAAGTTCTCGGCCAGCAGCACTATACGCAGAAAGAGAGCGACAGTCCGCCGTCAGCAGGGCCGCAGTCACCAGCCCCCGAATCCACCGACACACACGTGACACGGACATCAGAAATGGGACACACGAGCATACCGTGACCGTTGGGCTGTGCAAACATGTCCGCGGGTTACCGGCATCTGCCGAGCGCCTAGTGTACATTGCATAATGTCCATTAACATTTCAAATTAACTGCGGCGTGAGAAAACAGCATCCTGTGGACCGAGTCCTGGGTACTGAGCTCACCCTCGTGCAGAAGTTCCGGGTCGTCCGAGTCTTTGTTGGTGATGATTTTGTCGGCCAGCTGGTTGTATCCGCACTGGGCCACCACCCGGTGTACGTCCGGCTCACGCGGATCCACCAGCCAGCCGTGGTACAGCCGCACGTGCAGCAGGTCGAATATACAGCACTCGGGCGTGTACTCGAACTCCTGCACACTGCAGCAGTGTAACAGAATGTGACAGGCTAATCACCAAGGGCTGGTCGTGTCAAAACGTTTTGAGCGGGGTTATTATTATATCATTAGGACGTAGCATTTCGGATATCAGCTGCTTCATGGCATCGATTTCAACGACATCGTAACGTAACATATCAAGCTGAACGACTGATCGATGACGTCAGGGTGTAGTAACCTTTTAAACCGGATAATGATAACAGCGCAATATTTAGGACCTCTGCTGACTTCAAATTAACATGTTTAATCTGTTCTGCGCTAAAAGTGCTAAAAATTGGTATGTGGATAGCTATAATCCGTATGTTGGTCGTGGTGAACGAAAATACTCATATTGAATTCAATAGCTGGAAAAATACGCGGATAAAGAATACCCACCAACCAGTAGCAGGGCCACTCCTCAACACAAAAAAAAAAACGACTGCTCACCGTCCAAAACAGATCCCACGTTGTTTAATTAGTCGCCAGAAGCCTTAATCATGAACTTCATTGGTAGGTCCTTTAGGCGTCAAATTACGAAGGAAGGTTTTAGAATCGTATCTGACCTAGCATCTGGTGTTTTGATTTTGACTTTTACTGCGGCACAGCTGGTCATATGACCGTGTATTTTCGATGAACCAGGGCGACATAGATAGGCGCAACACGACTTACCCGGAGAACTTGACGTTGACGTCGAGGCCGGTCTGCAGTTTGGGCAGGATGGCCACGGCGTCCTGCATGTTCTGCTGAAAATCTGGCTGCTGCGCCTCGGCCGGCGCCGAATCGAGCATGGTGTCCCCGATGTAGTCCATCAGCTGGCCGATGGTGATCACCTCCAGCGCAGAGGGCAGCTGCACCTTGCCCTTCAGCAGCATCACATTGATCAGCGCCAGCAGCGGACACGGTCCGTTCACGTTCTGTGTGATGATCGGCGAGCGGGCCCCGTGGAACTGCACCCACTTGATGTGGTGCGCCGTATCCGACACGTGTCGCTCCGCCCCCGCGGCACTGGCGGGCTCCTCTGGCAGCGCCACGCGCTCCGCCCCCGCGGCACAGGCGGCCGGCTCCTCCGGCAGCGCCACGCGAGCGGGCTCCGCGGAGCCTACTGGCTCTTCCTCCGACAGAGCGACACGGGCCGGCTCCGCGGAGCCAGCTGGCTCCTCTGGCAGCGCGACAAGGGTCGGCTCCACGGCATCGGCGGGCACTTCAGGGAGGGTCGCGGTCGACTTTGTCACGTCTGGCGACGCTACCGATGTGGAAGGACTTGAGTCCCTACCAGGAGGCTGTTCGTGGCCAGAAGCCTCATAAGACGGTGGGGAGGATGCTGCAGCACGTATCATCAGAGCATCTTCCGATCCAGCTACAGAGTGGCTGGGAGATGGATCTCCATGGCCCATTGTGGTGCTCTCCTCCACAACATTTGGTAAAGTGGAGTGTGATTGACAGTCTTGCCCAGGATTTTGATGTTCAATAAATTCATTTCTTATGTCATCGCCTTTATCATTGCCACTTAATCCTTTGCCTTCATTGTTAGAACTGCTGCTTGCCATGCTCTGAAAAATAAACAATGCAATATTAGAAACAATTTGTGATCCTGAGTTGACACAACCAATGCTCTCAGCACTTCAGCAGTATAAGAAAAAAGAAAAAAAGAAAGAAGGCTCCAGTAGTCCAGTAGTGAGAAGGAAGAGCAGGAGTCACGATGAGATGATGACCATCAGAGAATGATTTTAAAGAGGATAGTTCACTTTCCCAAAATTAGTTTTTTTTGCAGTAAATTTCAGATTTTTATGCTCAAAATGATCAGCAAAGAAACTAAAACCATTTTATAAAAAACATCCTTTTCTACATTTTTATATAGGAAGAACTATACCTACTCTATGAAAATATTGTTCGATGCAGAAGCTTTTTAAGCATTGACAAATCATAGTGTGTAGTTCAGTCACTTCAAACCCATCGGCTGAAAGCAGCATGCTGCTTGGCTGATGATGACGTGGCTGCATTCCTCAGCATAACAAGCACTCCTCAGCAAGACACTTTTCTGGACGAGAAATGGAATATCTTTGCCTGGGTTGATCTTTGAGCCGTAAAAGGTTCTGATTTGTGCTTGTCTCAGCTCAAGCTACGAAACTGCTATTCCAGTTCAAAACCCTATGTTAAAAGTGGATCATTTCCTTTCATTTGTTAATTTTTGCTGCTTTGTTTTTGACATGTTAGCATTTGTGATGATTTCTATGGCTACTTTGTGATATATTATCATAAAACGGTGTTAGAACTGCAAAAAAACACAGTTGGAATTTTAC